GTCTAACTAATAAAACATATTTGTGGATTTTACTATCCTGTAGATTTTTGCTCATGTTTTGCCAAGGCAAGTAATTCAGTCTGACTAAAAAAACATTGGTTTTATACATTTATTATGCACAAAATAAGGCATACTTTATAATATTCTGGAGATAAAATGAGCTCTTAAGTTTAATCTCTCCTCACTCTCATCAAAAAATGTTGTTTAGTAATTTTGTTTATTGTTTTTCCAGCTTGTATGATTTTTTTTGGCTCACGTCATTGCCGGAAATATTTATAACAATTATAAAAATTCGTTGTAAGTTATGTTTCAGTCCATGTACTGTATTGATACTAAGGGTTGAAATACTACATATTTTTTAAGGTCGACTACATCATAATAGTCGAATCGATGTCGACTAGTCGCGGTGACGACATGGTGACGTAAGCGCAAAAACCTTCACAACTACTTGGAGGCTTTATCAGCTATTTTCACGGCAAATATTTACACCCCCTCCCCTTCTCCCGCTTTTACCAAGTCTAGTATGCAGAATTAAAAGAGCAATAAACAGATCAGTCTTCGTGAGCAGCGGAGAAAAGTTTGTTGCACAAAGTCGGGTCTGACTTTTTTTTTTTTTTCCCCAAAACACCGGCTGATGCTGATGATCTCTGGATAGTTACTCGTATAGGAGTAAAATTATCACACTGACCACAATGGTGCTTTTGGAACATCACAAACCAAACTTATTATGAACGGTTTCCCGTTTGGTTACAGTTGAATTTAACGAAACCTCCTGCTGCTCCTCCTGCTGCTCCTCCGCCCGATGCGCAGCAGGAGGCTCTGCTGACTCAGCAGCGGCTCTCTGAACCGACATGCAGACGGCGGCCGAGATCGCCTCTATCAGATCCTCAGGATGAAGCTTGGACTTAGTTTCCAGATGTAGTCAAACCATATCTTTATAAGAGCGTAAAGATCTTATAAAGATCTTTACGCTCTTTAGAAGCGTAAAGCTCTAAAGAGCGTATTGAAGGTTAAAAGCTTCAATACCCAGGGTGACGCTGATCAGTTGGGGGTAGTTGAGGAATAAAAAAGTCTGACATCATGACGCGTTGTCGCACATTACTCCGGTAGACTTGTTTTTTTTTTTTAAGGAAATTTTCGGCACTAGTTTATTTGACAACGATCTGACTGTAAGGGGGCAGAGAGAGCAGAGAGAGGCCTGGGCCCAGCGAATGGAGGACAGGAGTCGGACTCCTGATTACCGCGGGCTAAAGACTCTGTATGCGGGGCGCCGCGCTAACCACCGCCCCGCGCAACGCCCCTATTGCGGTAGCCTATGTTGTAATTTACAGTTTGTAATTATTAAATTATTTAGAATTTTATACAATTTGAGCTTTCTGGCGAACTCACCTAGTCCACCTTCTTTCATTTTCTGGGAAAAATCTGTTTAGTCATGTAATTGCGACTAGTCGACTGGCCCAGAAAAAAGTCATTGCAGAGAAAATAATCGACTAGTCGACTAATTGGTGCAACCCCTAATTGATACCCCATTCCATTATTGAGAATGATGTACATATGGCAAACCCTTAAACTGAGTCCATGAGATACAGTATGTAAAGGACAACTGTGTTTACACTGGCTTTCACATCAGCTTGATCTAAATTTACAATATTTGCCATGTAAGTTTTCACACTGCCATTTACCATTCTCATTGCCTTCTAGTCTATGTGATGTCTCTGTGTTTCATTGTGACAATGTAATTTGCTATGTCTTCCACTGTCTTGCTTCGCTCCGGTGGCTGCATCCACCTTACCAACAATTCACTGTGGCATCAGGGTCACTCTGTCCTGTCAAGGCGCTTTATCTCCCACCGCCTAATTTTCTTCTCCCTTCTCTGTTTCACTGTCCGCTGCCTTTATTTGTTCTTTATATTTCATGGTCCAATCATTACCTTAACCTCCTGTTGACCTCTCTGGTCATCTCTCCTTCTGTCCTTGTGAAGACAGTTATCAGTAAACATGGTGACAGTAACATGTCATGCATTAAGCTTATTGGGATTTTTTATCATTGCACTTCCTTCTCACTTCTCCCTCATAACACTGCGTATGGACTGTGGCCACTGTTGTTCAGTAAGGCAACCAACACCAATGTGCAATTATCAGAACTTTAAAGAAATGTGGTAGAGTTAAGACTCTGCACATCATTATTGGGTTAACTCTCAATGCCTTTGATGCCAACATTTTATATAGATTGCAGTGAGTTCTTATAAGAAACATGTGAAAACCTAAATGCTTATTAAGTTTCTTAGTATTTGCAAATAAAAACTATATGTTTCAAGGTATGGATAAAAATATATCTGTTCATTCTAGCAGGCTAAACTGTAGACTCACATAAGTAATAAGGGCCATCATTTCCTGAGCGTGAGGTCATGCTGTCCTTCATCAATGCACGCCAGGAGGTATTACATGAAGACACACAAATGCCAGTTCAGAACGTTCTGAAGAGTGGTGGAAATAACACTGATGATGGAAAGAAAAAGACAATTTTGAAAAATGGGGGTAAATTACAACCAATTACATTAAAATATTCAAAATAATGTCATCTTAAAGCCTGAAGTGAACAAAACAATTCTGAACCACCCTTGATTTCAACACTCAATGACATAACCCGAATATAAGCATAAATAATGTTTCCCATCACATGGCAAAAAACTGAGTTATCAAAGCCCTTCAAGATCAAAATGTTGAGTGAGTGAAATCAACATTGTTCCCTATAGGTGATACACTCAGTGGGAAGTATGAATTTAAACTATGTGAAATATGATTGTTTTTTTTTTTCACCACTTGTTTAATGAGGATACAATGTCCTTTCAATAACTCAACCTGAAAATGCTAATAATAAAAGCAAAAATATTGTGCAAATTTGTGATAGCATGAGATTGAACTTCTAGGCTTTTTTGGAAACATTTACTCAGATATTATTTTACTCTAGTGCTTTTAGAGTTTTTATTAGTTTGTTGAGATAAAATGTACAGTAAATAAGAATCCAAAAAATGACAATGATTTAAATTTTTCAACCCTTTTAAGTTAAGCCTTCAGCTTTCATCGCCTAAATTATAATTGCTAAAGATGGTTGCAGCTGTGCCCACATATGCATACAATGCAACCAGGAATGACAGTAATGATACATTAGCACTGTGGCTTACCAGAGTGATTATTGTCATCCAGGTTAACTTTAGCTTACTCTCTGTTATTAGTTCCAAAAACCGTTTTACTACTCAGCCTCTGAACTGCCTGCAGGGTAGAGAGATAACAGGCGGACATGATTGAGGATGAAGAAAATTGAAGCATTGTTTACTTGAAGTTAATTGAATCTTGTCGGAGACAAAAAGACAGTCCATCAAGGGTGTAGGCATATTTAGGCATGCTGCTCCAAAAGCAAAAAGGTTGTCTGTGTTTTATTTATTTTTATTTTTTTTTCACGCTTTATGCTCCTAATTTGAGGATGTGAAGGCGAGAAAAGAGTGGTTCCCTACAATATTATGTTTTCTACCAGAGCATACGTATACTTCTGTCACAATATTATCTACTTTGCATTTCTATCTAGAAACATATTTTTCGGAATGATTTTCTTTTTAAACGTAAGTCTAAAGCTGGCATATAAATATAATCGAATGCTCTTTACCAAAGCGTATGATAATGAGTTTTGCTCTGTATTTTGTCTTACCTTGGCCACAGTTCACAGTGGAATCAGGGTCACACTGCCCTATTAAAGACACTCCATCCTATTCATTTCTTGGCATACATAGTTTGATCACCATTCAAAGTAGACTTGTTTTATCACTTTTTTAGGCATGTTGAAAAAATTTTAAGCACAAACGTGGCAATGCAGATGGGACATATCTACAAATGCATCAATGGTGCAGAATTGACACAGGTATCTTCATATCTTCTCTGGATTCTGGTGACTGTTTTTGACCTAAAGTTCATTTAGGTATTTTAGTGACTAAGCTATTATTGCATTTGTATTTTTTACTATAAATAAGTCACAGTTGTGTCTATAATTGCTGTGAAAGTGGACCTGTAACATAACAAAATGATAAATCAAAAGATTAATGTTCATATTTTCCTGTTGTCCAGGACCAAATGAAGGATATTTTTAAAGTTACTCAAGTAGGATTATTAATACAGAAACTAAATGAAGTCATACATTTACCATACATAAGTGAATGCGTTTAAAAGCACTGCAAGCATTACATTAAGGTGGTGCTTGGGATTTCTGATTAGTGCATTATGGCTTGAGATACAGTTGGTGCTGCCTCTTATTTTCATGATTTTTTTTTCTTTAACTTTGACTTTTACTTACAGTGAACACAGAACAAAATTACATCCAAGTATAGTTGTTTTTTGTTCGTGCTGGTATCTGTGTCCTTGTTTCTAAGGTATTCCATGAGAAAACCTGTTTATAAAAATATGTTTGCACAACCTGAGTTTGGAACCCTATACCTGATTAAACCACAAGACTTCTGGAGATATGTCCTTAGGACAGATCAGACCAATGCTAAGTTTGATGAGCATCAGACACAGTATACACACACACACACACACACACACACACACACACACACACACACACACACATACACACACACACATATCAAACCAGCTGTCAGGTTTGGTAGTAATAACTTATTTTGCAGCAACAAGACCTTGAGTGGACAATGAATTCTTCTGTGTACCATGAAGTATGAGGACGGTCTAAAACTTGATCAAAACTAAGTCATAAAAGTACAATATCATATAAAGAAGTAACTCACAATGATGTGGAATATTGTAAGAATTCTGAGTGCTGAGAGATTAACTTCCCCTTATCTGTTTCTCTTCCCCTTCTCATGTTAATCTTCTCCTACAACAAGGCTGACTCATGACATCAGTCTGGACGAGTTTGAGGATGATGACCTCTCGGAGATTACAGAGATCACTGATGAGCGTGGGATGAGCCTCAACTGCAACGGCCCTGATATTAAAGTAAGATTCCATGAGTCATGAAATTTCATGAAATATGCAATGAATTTGCTTTAGGTTTTTATGTTACAATACTTTATCATTTAATGCAGAGGTTTGCTTAACTAACCTCTGTAAAATTAATCATGATCTCCTTCAGTTATTGATTTCACTTACCTACTAACTATTGATTTCATTTCCGCTACACCTTACAAATTATTTAGCTTAGCTGCTTCTTAAAATGCATTTATGGCTCCAGTTAATAATTAAACTCAAGAAAAGATTTATATATTGACTTAAGTGTGTTGTTTTCGGTTTTGTTTTTAGGTCACAAATATTAAGCGAGACAGTATCCATAATAAATACATTTACAATAAATGTATTTGTAATGTCACCCTGAACCTACCACAGATCTCTAAATGCTAAAAATATTGATTTCACTGCGAAGACATGAGAGCAGAGACATACAATAAATGTCTTTTTAACTAAATAAAAAAAAAAATCTGTTTATAAATCACAAAAAGCATAATAGATCAATCTATGTTTGGCTTGTCTGTATTGTGCTTTTTTTATGCTTTTCTAAGTATGTAGTAGCCCCATAAAAATAAGAAATACTGAATAACAATTTCTCTTGCAAATGTGTGCAATATTGCAATTGTAAAAGACTACGTGGATACAACATTTTGTAGGATATAATATTTCAAGTGTTGCTTTAGAGCTCTGCTTCCCAAAAATATATGTGGCTTTTAGGATGGACTTTTACTGCTGTTTATGCTGATAGATCCCCCTGACAAAGATATTAAAGTTCAGGGAGAAGAGTGAGGATGCTGTAATGATGGAAAAGAAGGTGGAGGAAAATGTGAAACATTTAATATTGTCAACATTTTATTGTATAGTATTGTAGATAATGCTTTGACATTATCATGTCTAACTTAACAAATAAAGGTTTCATAAATTCATGTCTAAATGTGGTGATAACAAAAATGTATAATTAATTTTAAATCCACAGTAAAATTGCTATTTTGTTCAACTATACATACAGTCACATTTTTGTTATATTGATCTCAAATTTACTTGAGTGAATCATGAAAAAAACTGGAGCAAGTGTAAAATTCAGCTCAATAGGATAGATGTGCTGAACCATAATGAGTAAGATGGAGGAAGAAAATAGCCAGAAGTAGATTTATTATTCTGTCAGATCTGCTCTGTTCCCAGTGAACCACCATCACCACCTCCATTCAGCTCTGCTGCAGTATCCTTGGCAACTGAGTGGTTGAGGGGCTTTTCAGTAACATCTATCTTTGATCACTTAGCACTGCGTAGCACTGATAGGAAATCCTCCAGAGAGCTGTGAATATATTTTAGGTTTAGAAGGTTGTTAATTTTTTTCAGTTTTTCCCCATCTTACCCTGGGAGCTAATTATAGATCAGATTACCAAATGTGAGCTCTCTCAGCGGAGGTGTATTTGTATGTGAACATTGATGACTCATCCTCTCTCAGGGGCCTTGTGAAGGTAAAATTTCACAATGGGTTTCTGAATGGCAAACACCAATCAGGTGTCATGCCAGTCGCAACAACAAAGCTTCCGTGTCCCTGAGTGACTGTACTTCCAGGGTACAAGGCTGTTTCTGTCTGGCTTTTGCCGACCGTGCATCATTTCAATATAAGGATTGTTGTTTAGCATTTGAAAAGAGTCAGCTGTGTTTGGTCTCTGGTTTATACATCAGTTGTACTAGAGTTTGGATCACGACGTGGATCAAACTGCTTGGGTGGGAGGAAAAGGAAGCCTTCTCTTCGTCAATCACAGTGGCTATGTATTGTGTGTGTGTGTGTGTGTGTGTGTGTGTGTGTGTGGGTGTGTGTGTGTGTATATATATAATATCATATCACATCAGTTCTTAAATCTCTTTACTGCCTCCATGTTTGTCAAAAATAATTTTACGTACTACCTAATTAAAGTGTTTTTAAACCCAAGTATTATGGCTTTAAAGTTAATCAACACAGTTTGGATTGGGTCAAACTAATACAGCCATTCCCATTTTTACCTTTCTTTGTTGGATATGAATCCCACAAAGTGACAGCACAAGTCAATTATTGATAATTATTTATTCACAATTTTTAATTTTATCAGAAAACGTGATGATAAAAAATATAAACATGATTTAAAAAAAAACTAAACATTCAGCTGCAGTCATCAGCTTGTGAGGCTCTTCTTGAAAAATTTAAGTAGTGGTGACCACATCAGTAAGGTCAACATCAGAAGGGGGATTCAGAATGCATTTTGCCTCATCAATCATTAACAGGAAAATGGAAGGAGCATCACTTCAGACAACAGTTCCTGTGTCAGCAGGGCGAGGTGAATCAGATGTTCTGTAAATATGTGTGGTTCTTAGAAAAGGTCAGGGGTGCACACACAGAGGAATATGTGAAATACATACAATATGTCCCGATTCTTTGAATTCTATGTTCTGTAGCGTCCTTTAACTTTTGTGAAGCCAGAAATGTAATGGGTCAAAACTGGGACAAATCGAAAGTACTTTAATTTACAGCATATTCTTATACTAAGTTGTTTTTTCTCTCAAACTAATAATATTGGCATTTTAAACAGCTGTTTATGTGACATGATTCCTCCAGTAAGATGTTTTTTTGGAAAAAGGCCCTAGAATTTTCTTAAATAGTTCTAAATTAAAATAATTTTCTCAATTTTTTTTTTGACTTTTTGCTCTGTTTGGGACTGAAGAGGAGACAACTAAAATTGTGTTGTCTCCTCAATTAGAGGAGACAATAGAGGCAAATTGCTGGATTGTGCTGGAATTGATGTTTGTGTTTTCACTGATTTACTGCAATCTGGTACTGGAAAGAAAAAAAATCGCAAATGCAAAATATTTGCAAAAATGAATCTTTTTGATAACTTCTATATCTGGTGTACTCGAAACCAAAAAGAGAATAACTTCAACTTGATGCACAATGATGTTTAAATTGCTTCCATCTGTTGGACCCAATTATTGTATTTCATTTGTATGGATTTAGGGCAAACTGGTTTGTGAATATACTTGAGAAAAAGGGAAAAAAAGAAGAAAAAATAGGAGAAGTCTGAACCACTTGCAAAAACTGGAGGGAATAAAGATTGTGAATTCTCGTCTCAGTTGCAGGGAAATGTGCTTTTTTCATATTGAAATATGATTTCATTTCTGACATTTAATCTGGTATTACTGCTGTAAAGGTCACTTGACTGATATATATATATTAAAAAGATTGTAATTGAAGATTCAGTGCTGTTTACTGTTCACATTATTTAGTTTAGCTGGAACTGTTAGCTTGGTTAATTCCTTGGTCAGAAATGTTTCTCTGCTTAATTGTGTCCAGCTTTCTGCTTATAGAGTTTGTCTGTGCTTCTTGTTATTGTGCTTCCAGTTCACCTTCAAAAATTTAGTTGGAGTTTTAAGAGAAGAACAATTCATGTACAAGTAACAGTTCTTTGTAGAATATTTTGTAGTCAGCCTCTTTGTAACAGTGAAAGGTGTCCGAATGCCTGGCTTATCCTGGCAAAGAAAAGACAGGCCGGGGCTCATCAAAAGACATATTGAATTTCTAGTGCACATGGCTTTAGTATTTAAGGGTTAATGTGGACCAGATCAAGCTCAGACGAAGCATAAAGAGATTTAGTGCTCCTTAGAGACGTGGGATGACAACATGTATCATCATTACATCCACTCAAGGCGGGGCTGGGAGAGAAGAGTGCTTCCATGCTCATGTGTAAGGATTAATTGATCTGATGTACAGCCATTCGTCGTATGTGAAAGGTTGGCGATAATGACATTTTTGGGTGGGGTCACTTGACTGAGCAATTACATTAAAATGTCTGTAGAAGCACACAAAAACACCCAGGGGTAGATGCATCAGTTGTTTGCAGACACTATTTTCACACCCGAGTGTGAGATCCTAATTTTAAAAATAGATTCAATGGTAGATCTCCTGTCAAAGTCCCTTTTCTTGCCAAACAAGGTCTTGCAGCAGTTTACTTGCAATTAAATAAGAAATTATGTATGCATGTATGTATTATTTACATTTTGCTCAGTTTGGTACGTGAGAAGAAAAAAGGGATAAAAAGGATCTCATATCATGCTGACATTAACAAAAGCCAAATCAGGGATGTCACAAATAGTAAAGAGTATTCTCTGTTTAAATATTTAGCTAATAATCGTACACATAATGATGGATGGGATTAAAATTACTCCGCATATATTTATTAGAATCTGCATCATGAATAAAGTGCAAATGCAAAGCAAATATGTGGAGCAAAAGAGTTGTGAAAGACAGAGGAAATTGCAAAGCTTCTTAAATGTACATAAAAAAAACATTGATTAATGCATTTTTCAGACAAATCTTCATCTCAACATGTGACCTAAAACGAAGCAATTTTTATTGTTTTTTTCTCATGGTAAACACCATCGTCACAGTTGTTTTAAAATCATTGTTTTAGAGATCAGAGTCTTGTAAGCACTACTATGACGGTGCTTATGAGCACATAAGCAGACTTGTTTCCATAGCAACAGTATTTTTCTTACCCACTCCACGTGACGAAGCTGAAAATACATCGAGTGTTGGCGCGTGTGCGTGCATACACACACACACACACTCAACACCCCCATGGATACTGCTCTCGTCATCTCCTCTACACATGGTAACTGGAGAGGAAGCTGCCTCATCGAGTCAAGTGGACACAAGAGAAGTCCTTTTCTCTCTTGGCTCCTGTTTACACCATTTTCACAGCCATTTAGGGACACGATCATGCAGATTGACTCGTTTTTTTGTTGTTGTTTTTTTTATCTCTGAATATATAATGACTTATTACTGACCATCATCCTAGTCTTTTCCTTAATTTGTAGGACAGCTTTGTTCAGCTTATTTTTAAATACACAGCTTTGGATATGTTAAGCAAACAATTGGTCAGATTTTTATTATGAATATTAGGAGGCAACAAATGGACTTTAAGAGTTGCTGCTTTTAAGTGTTTCCAAAT